AAAAAAAAGTGCCTGTTTTCCTTTGTCTCACTTTTTCTTGTTTTCACTTTTCAGTATCTGAGTTCTGATATGTTAAACTAAGAGCTGCTTTCAGAGGAAATTGCAGAGAGAACTACAGGACGTCCTCTTTCCAGGAAAAATAGAGATGCACATTTGTTTTTAACCTGAAAAGAGTGCAATTTTTTGTGTTTATGCAATCTGCTCTGAACTTGTTTCATAATCATAGCGGTCATAGACGTTTCTCAGCCCAAAAGAGCCATCTGTAAAAACAGCAACTGGGATAAAACATTAAAAATCACAACAGTTTGAATTAGTACTAAAGAGTTTACGTGTGATGACAGTAACAAGCTAATTCTAATACCAAATAGTCACTGACCCCAAAACCAACTTGGACTACTTCAACACACAGATCCTTTACTCTGCCACATTTTCTTTTTATATTAGAGAGGTGTCAAAGATATTAAAGCAAAGATCCAAGTGGAAGGTTTTATAGATTGTTCCAGAGAGATTTTATAACTAGTTTTAATTCAAACTATACAACACAAATATATCCATTTGGAGTTAAAATTTGAAAGATTTGCAGAAAACTGCACATATGTCCCTCTGTGATCTTTCCACAACAACAGGAATATGATCAGAGCAGTGGTGCACTGTCAGAGTCTGAACCCACAACTGTTATACTGTTCTTGATGTTGAGCAGGTACACACAGAAAAGAAAAGAAAAGAAAAGAAAAGAAATAAAGCAGAGTGACCAGACCTCCATGAAGAAATGAATCTAAACCTTTTAATCTGTCACACAGAACATGATGATGGTCAATAACTAATGAAAGAACAAGAACAAGAAAAGAAACATCCTAATTAAAACGATTCCTTTATCACAATGTAACATGGGCTCATCCCAACATTAAAACAACTTTTTTCTTGGTTCTCTGTCTTGATGCTCAGACTTTTGCTCAGCTTTGATTGGTCAAACAGAGCAGCAGCAGCGCCTTGAGCTGCGTCTGCGTGTTCAGCTCTTATTTATGTAGAAATGACTTCCTGTCCTGCAGCTGTATATGTTCAGCCCTCTTTCTCCCACTGCCTCTTTCCCAGAATCTTGCTTTTAGTGGCCACAGCCTTGCCATTAATGGACTGCTGTGTATGAGACACACAGAGTGAACCTGGATACTGGTGTATGTGCTCATTTATTCTCA